GGCAGAGCTGAACTTTGCCCCCCGTCCCCAAACCCCCCTTGGCGGCCCCGCGTCCCGAGGAGGCCGAGTAACACACCCCCCCCTGCCAGGCGGGATGGCCTCGGTCTGCCTCCCCAGAGCATCCCCTGGGGGCTCGGCCTGGGCCCTTCCCGTGTCCCTGGCTGCAGGGCCGTCCGTGAGCTCCTCAAGCAAGCGCCTTCTTAACAGCCTCTGGTTTGCCGCCTTACTTTAATCGTCGGCCTGGCTGCGAAGTGGATTGTTTTAAGCTTTTGGCTTGATGATTGCTCAGCCAAGAAACAGGGCTACTTTGTTGCATGGTGGTCGCCCTCTGGTACCGCTTGTAGGAAGGGGCGGCTCTCAGGATGGTAAGAATCACCTGCACAGAGGAACTTTATTAGAATAGATTCTAGCTGGTGTAACATTTGTGTCCATGATGGTGACTAAGTAGAGCAGGCCTCGACATTTTCTTCAGAAATGGTACTGCTACCTGACCTGTTATAAGAAACTTACTTTTATTGCAAACCTTTTTTAAGATTTTTTTTTATTTATTTTTCACGTCCACCGTAACTTGCGGTGCACACCCTTTCTCTTACCAAAATTTAAAATGTAGACCCTTGCTTTCAGGGGCACGGAATAAGGTATCTCTTCTAGGGACTTCCTCAGTTGGTCCCAGCTTTGTTTACTTGTGGTTCTGCCGGGGGAGGACAGGTGAGAAAACTGCCTTCTGAGTCTCGGTAGCTCGCTTGTGTGTCACCTGTCCTCGGAGCTTCTCTGAGTTGGAATGGGAACGGGCCTGGGGGTATTCACAGAAAAATAGCAGCCAGGTACGTGGGAAAGAGGGTCCTTGGTGCGTAGTCCTACTTCTGCTGCCAGTGTGCGTTAGATAGCCTGCCCTGCCCTGTATGCCAAGCACTATTAAAGCAGTTGTCTTCTGCTGTAGCCTGATGGGATCAGCGAGGGCACCGTCTAGGCCTTAAGACTTAAAATGTATTTTAGAATAAATTAAGACAAAGCATGGCCTATTTTATAGTAAGGATTATGTAATGCTATGCCTGCAGTGGCGGAAGATGACTTGGCTCAGCAGGTCACTTCTCATCCAGTCTCCTGAACGTATTAACTCACATACTTTGCTTAAGCCTCCCTGAATTAATTTGGAATCAAAGATCCTGCCTTTCCCATTTTAAATGCAAGAGAAAGGAGGTGCTCAAGTAAATGAAAAGGTGACATTTGCATAGCTAGGAAGAGGGTTTCCTTCTAGGCAAAAAGATGTGATGAGACTGTGAAATTTGTTTGGAAAGTCACTGAGGCCAAAAAAGAGTCCTGGATAGACCTGTCTGTCCTCTGTAAAATGTCTGTTAAATGTCAGTAGTTTTCCAGAGACTCATTAACACGGAGTGAGATCTCAGCTGTGGAATTGTACTTGGGATGGCCAGTGCTTACTTGTTTTAAACAACACCAGCCTGTAAAACATTAGTCTGTTCTGTCATGAGTTACGTGTTAAACTTGAAATCCTGACTCAGAGTTTCAAAACTCATAAACTGAGATGTATTTGAAGGTGGAGGAGGAAAGATTACCATAAGCCTGCCTCCTGCAGACCTCTCATCCCTCCCTGTGATCCACATAGGTGGAAAACTGCTGTTCCTGCCTGACTCCGAGCAGCGAGTCCTGTGCTCCTCCGAACAGGAGTACCTGGGCCAGTGTTGTTACTGTACAGGCTGACTGCGTTGAACTCTTCTCTGTTTATGATTTGGTGATGGAGTCAGACTTCCAAGTTTAACATCCCTGTTGTAGTTACATCTGTTACATTGGCATCTGTTTTCCTGATGCTTATAGGTACTTTTTCTGGTATGAATGATCTGTTCCAGGATTTCAGTTACGAAAATGTTTCTCTCTTGTTCTAAATGTCCCTTAGATCAATGTAGTGAGTATTTATTTTTATTAAAAATTCTTTTTAAATAAAAGTTTTTTTTAAAAAAAAAAAACCACCAACTCCTCTTTTAAATGTATTTTATGTTGTAAAGCTGTTTTCAGCATCTTTTAGTATCTGCTGTAATAATTCCCAGATTAGGAGCTCCCAAATAGCATTGGGAGTCTACTGGAAGTAGAATTTGTGGAAGTGGATCCACACTGAGATTCGGAGTCAAATGCCTAGAAGCAAACCTGGATGTGAGGCCAACTATAAAAAATGTTGGAGCTGCCGATCCGTTTGACTGATGTGCAGAGCATTTGCTATGGCGATTGCAAATCTGAATTGTTGAGGATACTGACTCCAAAAAAACATTATTACATTTTGTTATTATTACATTATTACAGTTCTGCTAACTGTTTTGGTAAAAGACCTTGGGGTTTTTGGAAGACAGTGAGCAGGATGGGAGGACTCTGTCTCCTCCCCTGCTTGTTGTCTGATCTGATTTTACCAGTAGGACCCGTCCCTGGGACGGGGATCTCACATGCAGCACAAGAGCTTTTGGGATCCACCGTTTGCTCATTTTCCCTCTGGTTAGTGTGACTCCTTCCATGCCCAGCCTGTCCCACCGCTCCTCTGACTGCTTCGCTCCCACAACCACCGACCCCTTTCTGTTACCCCACGGGGACGCTCGTGCATCGGATCTGCTGTACGGGGCGGGCCTTGGTGCTGCAGGAGCAGAGAGGCTGCTCTGACCGCCGAGAACAGAAAGGGGTTAACGGGGCACAGCACAACTGGGTGTCGTAGAGGACAAAATGAATATTGCAGATGCTAAAGCAGTGTGGTAGAACTGATGTCTTACCTTTTTGATATGAGCAAATTGGCTGCTGTTACTAACTACTCAGAAAACAGACTTTTTGAGAAGCAGTTGAGAAATGGAAATTGGAAACTGTATCTGCTGCCACACCTTAACTGCTTTTATAGGATGTGCTGCTTTTATAAACTGGCGATGTGACTATCCAAGACCTTTAGTTACCGATAGTGATGATGTGCAGGAGGCTGCAATCACAGCACCATGGTAAGAGGCTCCTGCTCTTGAGGTAACCGCTGGGAACAAATTCTTTTATTCTTCGTTTCTTGGTTACCTCTTAAGCGAGGAAGGTAGAAGCTGCAGCAGGTGTGTTTTGAAGCATTATGTTTGAGAGACCAGACTTGTTTCTTTTATGAATTGGTGACTCTTTTGTAAAGTGTTGCGTGGTAAATCTTGCTGGCTGCTCTTGTCTTGCCTAGAGCCCATCAGAGACAAGCTACTTTGGTTCAGCAGAGGACTAGTATGTGGCAGATGCCCCCTGGCAGAGAGTAGTAGTGGTCAGAGAGACTTAAGCCGGTGGAAAGGAGACACCGGTGAGGAGAGGGCTGGAGTCACTTGGGTGGCACTGGGTGTGCAAGCTGTCCAGGGTGTATTCCGAAAACTGTTTCACCATGTATGGCTTTGGTTTTGGTAAAGGCTGTAATGTGACGGTCTGAGCGGTGTAGTTCAGTGCGTTGGCATCTTTTGCTCAGGTGCACTCCTGGGATCATTTCCTTTTCTTTGTTTCAGCCCAAATCAGGTTTGAAGCTCTCAGTTTTCATTCTTATACTCTTTGCTTGTATTCCATCAAGTCTGGAGCAGAAAACAAATTGTAGCCTGCAGCTAAAGTTTAATCATTATTGAAACTAACCTGATTTAAAAATAAATCCCTTATTGCCTTTATTTTAAATTTTAATGATCTTTAATCCTTTAAGTAACTTTAAGCGTACACAACTTATTTAGTGGTAATTTTTCTTAAGGCTTTGGTATTGTTTTCAGGTATATGTCACAAGGAAAACACGCAGAAGCAAGAGAACTAATGTATTCAGGGGCTTTGCTGTTCTTCAGTCATAACCAGGTAAGTCACTAATTTTGTGTGTGTGGTTTTGGGGGAGGGGGTTGTTATTCCAAGATTTTGAGGGGTGAATGGTGAATTCTCAATGGTAAACGTTTGGGGTAATTGCTTTGTAATCTTTTGTTGTATCTCTTTGTTGAGCCTTTCTCCACAAAGAAGGATTATGCCAAACTGGAACACAGAGCAGAAGTGTTTGTGAGCATCCAAACAATAATCCTAACCACATTTGTTTTGTTTTCCTGGAGGCTTCTCTTTTGATGCCATCAAATTACTGTAATTGTTTTTTATAAGGGAAGGTTGAGACTATACTGTGCCTTAGCTGTAGATGTTGATAAAAGTATTAAATCTGCCTCTGACGAAATTCTGGTCGATGTTTTATGTACCGATATGTTCATCACTACCAGTATGTGTCTGTTTTGTAGCAAAACAGTGCTGCTGATCTGTCCATGCTGGTTTTGGAGTCTTTGGAGAAATCGGATGCAAAAGTAGCAGATGACCTTTTAGGTGAGGTGACCTTTGCGCTCGGTTTGATGGTGTTTAGATGTGCTTTCACTTCACAGTAACTGTTGTTAACAGTCTTGAAACATGAAATCCTTTTTGTATGCCCTCCCACATGGCTAAGGGTTGCCTTCATCACAGAAATGGACTGGGGGAAAATGAATAATGGATTCCCGATAACTTTGTGGGCATGCTTAGAACAAACATTGCTGTCTTGTGGCATTGTCCTTTCCTCAGTGCAGCAGTAATGTATTGTCTGCACAGTCACTGATGAACAGTCTTGAAACGTGAAATCCTTTTTGTATGCCCTCCCACATGGCTAAGGGTTGCCTTCATCACAGAAATGGACTGGGGGAAAATGAATAATGGATTCCCGATAACTTTGTGGGCATGCTTAGAACAAACATTGCTGTCTTGTGGCATTGTCCTTTCCTCAGTGCAGCAGTAATGTATTGTCTGCACAGTCACTGATGTCCCCAGGGCTTTGGTGGGTGGTGGTTTCCCACCCTAGCAGTGTGGTAGCGTGCACGTTATTTGCGATTCAGCTGTTCACAAGGAAATTTTTCTTGTTTGACTGTGGGATTTGGTAAGCAGGCAGTTCCGGGTGGACCCTCTTAAGAGCTGCCTGGCCAGACTACTGCTGCAGCATGGGCGAACCGCTCCTGTTAACCTGTGGACGGAGACAGACAGACAGAGGCCATTCTTTGTTTACTTAAATCAGCTCTGACATTTTGTATCCCATCTATCTTCTGGTGGTGCTTTTCCGACCTACAGCCATCTGTCCCTCTCAGTTTCCCTATGAATGGCAAGCAGTCCCATAACCTGCAGTCTTTCCTCCTCCTCAGAATCTCATGGTCCTCTGGGTTATCCTGTCCCAAACGATGAAAGAGGGAAGCTGTCACCAGCTGACTGCAAGGCACAGCTTTTGGCTGTGGAGGAGTCATGTGAATATTGCTGGCTGATAGATGCAAGATTGACTTGATGTATGAGAAGTGGCTCAAGTTCAAAGTCACTCTTTTTTAAGGTGGCTTATGGAGGCTGTTAAGGGAGCTTAAAGACACAATAGCACTGTAACTTAAATGTTGTATCTTAAAGATGCACTAGAAGCAGCAGTTCATCCTATTTCTATTAATGCTAAATATTTGTGAATCTTATTGTTTCTAGAAAACTTGGCTAAATTGTTTAGTTTAATGGATCCAAATTCTCCCGAAAGAGTGGCTTTCGTATCCAGAGCACTAAAATGGTCTAGCGGGGGATCGGGAAAACTTGGACATCCAAAACTACACCAGTTACTAGCAATTACCCTGTGGAAAGGTAAGAAAAATCAACTGGCTTTTCTGTGTTTTGTTTTGAAAATGTTGAAAGTATGATATTGTAAGAGATCTACTTTGGAAATAATCTAAGGAAGCTGAGATGGAAATGATTGATTGAGTTCTGCTATTACCTGATTTTTGCAATAAATTCAGCTTAATGTTACTAACAAAAAAAACCCTGGGGCTGTAACTCTGTATTAGTGCAAAACCCAAAATACAACTGCTGTAAAGCTCTCTGTAAAAGGAAGGTTGATCCTTTAGACATTGAGGTAGCTTGATTGAGTCATTAGGAGGAAAATTACTGGGGAGCAAAGCTGTTCTGTTGTGGCTTTTTTTGTTTTTAAATCCTGGATAAACATGACAAAGATTGAAATACATCACCTAGCATCCGAAACAGTCTTTGGATCTGTAACTAGGTACTTTTTGAGATGTTGACCAGCAGGCTTATTCCAGAATGAGTGCTGTTGCCTTTGATTTATGTGGGATTTTATCACTTGTGATGGGATGTAAGATAAACTAAAAATGTACTAAATAATTATTTTAATTGTGGATGGTAGCCAGTTTTTAAAGTCCTACGTTCAAAACATAACAAAGGTGAGTGAGAACAGTTGAATAAATGCCATCTCTTCTGTGGTTTCTCGTGAATTAATAACTGCGCAAGGTGATTGTTTGTTTATTTTAAATTTTTCAGTAGCTGCAAAGTGATGATAGTGGTTTCATATAACAATCCTGACCCAATGGTCAACGTTCCAGCTCATTGCCTTTCTGCGTGCCATAGGCAATCCCATAGCTGTTCTCATGGGACTTAGGTTAGCGTGATGGCTGCTGCCAGCCAGAAAGGGAGGATTTTCCTCAGAGCATTTAAGTTAGAAGCTGAGATACGATTAGGATAAGAAACAGTTGCATTGTGAAAGTAAAAATCCCCATTTTGTAGCTGTCTGCTCACGGTTCTTTTGAAGAGCAAAATGCGTGCGTTTTCTTCGTCTGTAGTTTTGGAGAGTTTCATCAGAAAAGGCTCAGATTTTTAAAACAAAGCTTTTAAATTCCAAAAATTAGCAGCTATCCAGTTTTGATTTGTCATTGCAGTGATTTTGCATGATGCTTTGCTTCAAGTTAAGTTCTAACAAATCATTGCCATTTCTTACACCTTTTTTCCTGTATAATTGCTGTTCTATTTGGCATATGGAAGCAATTTTAATTTTGATAGCGAGAGTGGGCTAAGCTAAAAATAGGAAATGCCTTCTTTCTGTGCACTTAGAAAGAAGGATGCTGAAGGTGCTGTTTGACTTCTTAGTGCACGTGGTCTGATATGGAACTTCTTGATTCTTCTCCTAAGCACTGATGATAGCATGTGAAGTGTCAACATGCAGTGAGATAAAAGTGAGATGACCGCAGCTCAAGCTGTTTGTCCCGGTGGTAGCTGTGTTTTGTGGTGGCATTGAATAAACTGTATTTAATAGCAGTTGTTCAAGTCTATTTAGGATAACATATTTATTATCTCCCTTTATAAATTGTCTGTAACTTACAAAGGAAAAAGCCCACTCTTTTTGCTAGTTGTCTTGTTTATATACCATGTGTGTAGCTCTTGTCCTTTTACCAGCTGTAGTGTACAAGCCTAACAAATTTGTTTTTACGTTCAGGTATGATGAACTGATTTCTTAAAAGCTGTTTTCTTTTTCTTTTTATAGAGCAAAACTATAGTGAATCTCGGTATCACTTCTTGCACTCCACAGATGGTGAAGGATGTGCAAATATGCTAGTAGAATACTCCTCGTCCAGGGGATATCGCAGTGAGGTGGACATGTTTGTAGCACAAGCAGTACTACAGTAGGTGTTGAACTTTTTTTTAACTATTTTGCTGAGATGACACTGTGTTTGAGGCCAATCTAATTTAGTCATGATAACTGTAGGTTAACCATGCATCCTTTTCAAAAGAAACTGTGAAACTGGCCAGAGCTTCTGAAACTCACTTGTTGTGTGGTAACAACACAACAGGAGAAAACCATCTCAAAACTGGTGTGTCAAATTGGTCAGATTGGGGAGAGAAAAAAGAAAAAACAAAATGTATTAAGGTTGAAACCTGAAATCATGTTAATTGCCTGAAGAATTACTGTAATGTTTGACTCTGAAAGCACAATTCTTAGCTTTGTTAACACCACTTTATGTCTAGTTAGGGCTTACCTTGATGTTCTTGCCAAGACTGGGCCTAAGTGGGCTCTGTATTTACCTTTAGCGTAGTACTTGCTCTCAGTCTCGTCATCCTAAGAGACAATTTGTCTTGGGTCACCCTGGTCTGTGAGCAGCAGTGCGATGGTTCTTGGTTTGACAAGAGTTGCTGGTGGCTTTTATTTGCTTCAGGCATTAATTTTGTAGCAGGTAGGAATGCAAGCTATTATGTGCCTTTGCAGAGCTCATGTACAATTAAGGTTGACAAAGCCAATTTTACTGTGTTCAATCAGCTGATGGCTTTCTTCAGTCAGGGAAAGCAGCGGATGGAGGAGTCTGAGGAGGAGGTGGAGACAGGACTGTGCAGCAGGGAGTCAGGGAGAGAGTAGGTGTTGGGGGAGAGGGAGGAGGTGAGAGCAAGTCTGTCTCTCTTTTGGCAGCAGTGAGCTGTCATGTCAGATTTGTCCTGCTTTCCATAGCTGGTTGATATAGATTGCAGTGATTTTGAGCAGTAGAAAATCTTTTATGGAAATCCAGTGTATGCAGGACTCTTAAACAATTTTATGGGGCTTTGTTCTGGAGGGGAGGAAATTCTGGGGAGAAGTTATGAGTAAGAGATTATTTTTTAAGTATTTATGCACTACTACTGCACCTTTACTGGCCTATATCTCAAATACTGTCCTAAATCCTCTTACATAGCAGTTTATACTCTAATGGAAATAATTGCAGTTCCTTGCTCAGCAGTAAGGCAAAAGAGCCCAATGCCCTTGCACATGTGAGGGTACAGAATTGGAGGCCAGCCTGCAACCAAAAATGAGACTGCTCATGGCAGCCTTCCCAGTGCTTGCTGACAGCATTTGTCCCAGATAAAGTCTCTTGTTAGGCCTATGGGACTTGCAGAGATTGCCAGTTAAATTAACTGGACCTGAACAAAGATTTGATCAGTTTGAGAAATTGATCTGTTAACTGGTGACAAATGGCTTGGGAGCTCCAAGTGTAGCTTTATTATGAGACTTTGACGTGTGTGTCAAACTCATTAGTGGTCCTGATGCCATGTTATTTTGAGGTAGTGCTAATAGAATGACAGTCGTTGGACGCTGGCAGATACATACTGAAAGGAGATGTGTTTGGGAGTGGATGGGGCCAGGAGAAAGGTCTTTAATTCGGTTTTTACCTCAGCGTAGTAAACTCTGGACCAGTAAATGCAATATCATGTTTAATTTGAATTGATTCTATGATTCTATAGACCTCATCGCTCTCTACAACTACCTGAAAGGAGGTTGTAGCGAGGTGGGGTCGGTCTCTTCTCCCAAGTAACAAGCAATAGGACGAGAGGAAATGGCCTCAAGTTGCACCAGGGGAGGTTTAGATTGGACATGAGGAAAAATTTCTTTATTGAAAGAGTGGTTAAACATTGGAACAGGCTGCCCAGGGAAGTGGTTGAGTCACCGTCCCTGAAAGTATTTAAAAGACGGGTAGATGAGACACTTAGGGACATGGTTTAGTGGGCATGGGGGTGTTGGGTCGACAGTTGGACTCGATGATCTTAGAGGTCTTTTCCAACCTTAATGATTCTATTCTATGATTCTACGCGGTGGCCAGTCTTTCCACGTTTTGATTTAATTGATGCCCTCTTTTAGTAACTGTCCTGCATACAATCTGCTTTGGTTAAACTCATTCTATTAATACTTAATGTCAGTTCTCCCTCCCAACCCGCTTATTCCACAATGTATTTTAGTAGTGATTTTTCCCCTTCCTCGGTTGATAGCCAAACCATTGCCAGAGATGTACATCTCTACCAGTTAGTTTTTGCCATCAGTTTAAGCCTGAGATGGCTTCTATGCACAAATGAAGTAGAGATTGTTGAGCTTCTGGCTTCCCTTTTTCTTTCTGCATATAAAACTACTTCTCTGCCTTTTATTTTTAACTTGCTGTGTTCTGTTTCCTTTTGCAGATTTCTCTGCTTAAAAAATAAGACCAGCGCATCAGTTGTTTTTACGACATACACGCAGAAACATCCTTCAATAGAAAAGGGTCCGCCCTTTGTTCAACCACTGCTAAACTTCATCTGGTTTCTGTTATTGGCAGTTGATGGGTACAGTCTGATTTTTCTCATGTTGTTCTTGGGCTTTGTTCTTGGTTCTCATGTTGTTCTTGGTTTCCTTTTCAGTTGTTACTGAGATTACATTTTTGCTTGTTTCCTTTCTAGAGGAAAACTAACAGTATTTACAGTATTGTGTGAACAGTATCAACCTTCACTGAAAAGAGATCCCATGTATAATGAGGTGAGTTACTCATAGTTGTAAACAGGATTTAACCTACAGAATTAGTTAAATAATAGCTGATTGTCTCCTGTTTTGTGACTTGTATATAAGAGTCGGTGATCTAGCTTGTGTGGTGTGACTGCTGCCCATAATATTTCCACCTGTAAACAAAGTAGCTGACATTGTTCTTCATCTTGTGTTGTTTCAGTACCTAGATAGAATAGGACAGCTTTTCTTTGGTGTTCCGCCCAAGCAGACATCGTCCTACGGAGGATTACTAGGTAAGGTTTATGCCAACAATTGTTTATAGGTACCACCAGTCTTTTCAGAGCAGTGGCTTATATGAAACGGCTGTGCTGGAAATAGATAATTTGTTCTAACGAATATATCGGGGTTTTTGTAGCCTGTAGAAACAGTCACTACTGTAGAATACAAGATGAATTGGTTGCATGTGAAATTAATTTAGTGAAGCTAGTAGACTTTTCACCTTTGAGAAGGGGAGAAGCATGTAAATGACTCTTACAGTTAATTTTTGACATTGTGGTATAACTTCCAAATGTAAAGAAAAATCTTGTCTGTGTTAAAGCTTAATTTCATAGAATCATAGACTAGTTTGGGTTGGAAGGGACCTCTAAAGGTCATCTAGTCCAACCCCCCTGCCGTGGGCAGGGACAGCTTCAACTAGATCAGGTTGCTCAGAGCCCCGTCCAACCTGACCTGGAATGTTTCCAGGGATGGGGCATCCA